AGCCTCTTGAATTAATTTCAGACACATCAGGATAGTGGAACCAAAAACATGGGGAAGTGCAAATTTAATTTTAAAAAATGGCTATTTAACCAAGATATTGCTGCCTAGTTGAAACGATACAAGTTAACACATACAGGTGTTGATTTATTTTATGCAAAAAGTTTTCCAAACTTCAATTCCCCAAGTCATGTTTTATGTTAAAATAAACATTTGGGCAAATTTATTCTTAACTTAAAATAATTGATGTTGGTTCAATTTTCATCTTCACTTTTGGTTATTGTAAAATTGGACTTAAATTTAATTCCAAGTGGCATCAAAAAAGTCTTAAAAAGTCCTAAACCTGTTAGCATTGTTAGCTGCTAGCAGCTGTTGAGAGCCATGTGTAGGCAATCCCAGACTCTGAATTACAGATATCCTCTAAGTGTCGCATACAGCTCTTTTAATACGTAGAAGGCAACTGAATGTAAACTGTAAAGCTGAATATTAGTTGGGAAATATGGATGAAATCCTTTATCACAGTTTGTATAGATTTGTGTTGCAATATTGATACATATTTTGATATACTGTAGTAACATTTTTGGGCTATTAAATGAGAAGCAGTTTCAGCTGAGATGAGTCATCACTATGTTTGTGTTGTTAAACTAACAGAAGCACACTGGTAACTCACAACTGTAGAGGGATGTTTAAGAGTGGTTCTCATAAATGACACAACCCATAAATCATCTTTTGCTAAACACAGACATCGGCTTGAAATAATTACATCATTAAAACCGATTATTTACAGCTGATATGATACGCCCCAGTGGAGTTCATCATTTTACCTGGCAGAAATGACTATCAGTGGCATCTGAAAATGAGCTTGCTAGCATTACCTGAATGTTTTGAATTTTGTTAATTTAAAATTATAGTGAGGAGAACTAGAAGCTTTGATAAAGCTTTGTTAGCTAGTGGTTTATAGATGTGGATTTGGACCACAGACAGAACCAGCTATCAAAACCTACATTTTTATTTGTGTTTTAGTAAACCCATCTAATAAATGCTACCATAGCAAAAACACTAAAACTCTGGCTGTAGATATATTTATTTTCAGCTTGCACAGCTTGACCGTAATGTAGCTAACATGAACTTGCATTTGGAAACCCTGTCTGATGTAGTTCTTGAGCCTCTCAGCGAAAAATTCACACATATTTGAATGCTTTGAAAACTATACCTTGATGGAATCAGTCAGGCATTTATCAACAAAGAAACGTGACTTTGAAACAATAATGCCATATTGAAATTACAGAACTTATCAAATGACAATATTCCTGAGCTGTCAGAGCTACACCACCACCATGCTGGCTTGTTTCCAGCTTTGAACACAAGTCGTGATCTAAGTGCATATACATTACATGCTAGTAGGTGAAGAAGAATATCTTTGTTGTCATTGTGTAAGTACAATGAGATTCAGTTTGCAGCTTTCGTATCAATTCTATAATGAATAAGGTACAAAAAAAAATTACAATAGAAAATACATTGGCAATAAAATTAGAGCATTTTCGACAGCATCAGGCAATATTAAAACAATGCAAATAGCTCAGGTGTGTTAAAACTAAAACAGTGCATACATAACACACAGTGTAAAAACACAGGATGGTTATGTGGGTTAGTCCATGTCCAGGTTAAACCGTGGACAAACATGTCCAGTGTGTGAACCAGATATCAATATATGTACACTCATTTGTGTAGAATAAGTCCTGTAGAACATGTATGTGCTCAATCTTCATGAAAAATGTGTATTCTCAGTGGCAGCTCTTACTTGTCTTTTGACATTCTCTGTCAAGCTCCATATGCCAACACCAACGGCACGGTCCAGTGGCAGTGACAGCACGTACAAGCACACACACACACACACACACACACACACACAGAGTCACACACAGTCCCTGAGTTGTCTTGACCTAATTGAAGCCCAGCGGTCTGCCTGAGGTCATTCTCTTATACCTCCTTTATTTTAATGAGATTTTTAATTAGCATGTTAATTGCCTAACGTGATCAGCGGGGTGACTAGCTAGTTGGCTAGCTGCTGTTGGCATCCAGCTGGGCCATAACACTGAGGCTTTCCACTCTGCTGAACAAAAACCGTGCGAAGCTGAGCTTTGCTAGGCTGGCCTGGAGAGGAAATGGTGTTGAAGAAAACAAGCACTGCTTTTCTGCAGTCTTATGTTACATTTATGGTGGAAGCAGAGCTCTAGATCTAATTAATTACTAGTTTATTCAAATGGGTTTCTATTCTCTGACACACAGTTGATTTGCTGCTTTCTTCTTTTATTTAGAAAACAGTATCAGGAGGCTACAAAGACAGCTTACTAATATTAGCAACAGAACCATTAATACAATACCTATCATTATTGTGTTGTGCTGCTTATGCAGAAATGTTTTTTCATATGACATGTTATGTTGTTTTATGTTGATAAGATATTTTGTCATACTGCTTAGACAAATCCAGGTTGAAGGCAGAGGTAAACAAGCCGCCATCACTGTGCTTGCATCTCATTGGAAAACCTATGGAATAACACTGTAATGTACTATGCAAAGAATTTCACTTTGAACTGCGTCTAGGACCTCCTGTATAATATGTTTAATTTTAAAAATCAAATGCTAATAAAAGAAAAGATTATAATTTAAAACACTAAAAACTTCAACAACATTAGGTTCATTTTAAATATCCTGCAAAGCAGTAACTGATTCGTGCTGTTAACCAACAACAATAAACTTGAGCTTTGGAAAAAAAAAAATAAAAAATAAAAAACTGCATATGTTTTCTGGCCAAAATGTCACATTTACAATGTCAAGTGTCATCCATGATGTTTTTATTAAATATACTTTACATCTGATCGGGGCAAGAAATCATGTTCGGTTGAAAGTTTGTTGATTTCTAACCTTTAGGGATGCGCGCGATTAGACGTTTAAACGATAAAACGTCGGCCTGAGTTGCCGTCATGTTCACATTCATACTGCACAGCGCAAAGTTTCTCATACTTCAGCGGCATTTAAAATCTGACATGGTTGTTGAAGATTGTGATTAAAGGCTTCAAAGTGCTCTTGATGCACACAATATGTTTTTGGGACAATGTTTCAAATACTTAACAATAAATTGTTTACATTCACTGTGCAGGTTGGAGAAAAATGTATTGTTATGTATTGCTAGCTTGTCATAACCCTTTTTTTATTGTTTTGAGAATGAATAAATTCTACATTCACACAAATCACCTACCTGTCATAGGGGGCGATTGCTGAACGTGATTAACTCAAATATCCAGACCATTCTCTCCAAAAAACAGGCTTTTGAGTCATCTGTGCAAGCATCTTATTATAACTCATATTTATGCTTATATACGCACCAACCTCTAGTGGCCGTAGTAATTACAACAGGCGCAAAGGAGGAAGGTAGGTGATGTAATATAAAGAGCGACAGAGTTTGCATATGGAGGACTTCAGGGTGGATGGATGGGTCAAACAACAACAGGACTTTCACCCTGCAGATCACTGGTAATGTCCGATGTGAACCAAAAGTCAACCTTGACTGATGTCACATACTTAACTTACACAAACATACTTAATATAGCAGCAAATAGCTATTTGCTATAGAAAGATATAGTGGAGTAATGGCATCTTGAGTAGAGAATGAAGTTATATTACCTCTGTGCGCGTTGTAATCCGAGCTTCTCTGTACGTTGTTATGGTAGCCAGTCCAGCTGAGATGGAATATTAGTGCATGTGAGTCTCTGTGTGTGTATCCCACTGGCTAGCTAATCACCACCACTCTGCACTGCGCTCATATGGCAATTGCTGTTGTTATAAGATGGTGTTGTCGCAGAAGCATAGTGGCCAACTTCTGGTTCCCCCTGGTTAACACCATTAGCTCTGTTAGCACTGTTAGTGCCCTCAGCTGCTAGTCACCAGCTCAGCCACCACCATGTTCAGAGCCATGTGCCGACAACCTCTGAACCATAAAGGTGCTCTGAATATCTTAAACAGCTACCCAAACCATTTTTTTTTCCTAAACCTTTTAGTACGTTTGGTGCCTAACTGCTTTCATTTCCTAACATTAACCATATGATTAAAACTGCGACCATTAGTACATGCACCTGTCACTGGTATTCTTTAACAGTCATATGTGTCATTTTTGGAGTCATTGGCAAACAAGTATCCATACCATTCACTGTCAATTAAAATATGTTCAGTCCCAAAACCAGATTCATTCTCCTTTCAGCTCTGTTTTGGTCTGAAACCTCGACTTTACTTTGCTAAGTAAGAAGTTATAAAAGTAATTAGTTGATGATGAAATGATGATAGCCATAGCTGAATCTGGCTCTTGAATCTCTGACAATACATAGAGAAAAGTCATGGTTGGAAGGTCAGAGAAGGAAGCAAATAAAAGAGGAAGCGGTAGTGTTTTTTAAAGTATATATTTAAGGAGAGAAGATAAGGTGAGCCAGGGAAAATGTGTAGGAGATGAAAGGAGGTGGAGGTGGCCGAAAAGATGGAAAGTGACACAATGCACAGAGCGTCTCTCTTTCTCTGTCATGTCATTCTGTTAACTTCACTCTAGCAGGAACTCAAGGCTGTGCGGTTATGAGGCTTGCCTTTATAATTTACCACCGCCGGTGTCGGCTTCTTTATTGAGCCTGGCCTTCACTGACAGACACAGACACAGAGGAGGCTTTGATTTAGCCTGGGAACGTTCTCGCGTGTGTGGACCCTGTGAATCATTCTCTCTCTCCCATATCTCCTTTTGTTGTTCTGTCATATCCTCTTCTCTCTCTCCCTCTCTTTCTTTCTTTTCCTTTTTTTCCATACCTCTCCATTATTTCTCTCCCAGGCTGCTTCCTCTCGTTCTTATCCCTTTATACTAATTCTTTTCTATCTACGTCTCTTCTCATCTGTCTTCCCCTCCATGCCTCCTGTCTTCTCCCTTCTTTCTAATCACCTCTCTTGTCTCCTCTATCCCTCTCCAGTCAGATCTACTGTATAGAGAACGCCCATGGCCAGCTGGTGCGTGACCTGGACTTCAACCCCAACCGGCAGTACTACCTGGCCAGCTGTGGAGACGACTGCAAGGTCAAGTTCTGGGACGTCCGCAATGTCCAGGAGCCTGTCAAGACCCTGGAGGAGCACTCACACTGGTGGGTGGATTGGTGGGGGGGTGTACAGGGAGGTTCAGGCAGGGGTGGGCAGTGGAGTGGGTACTGTCCTTGAACCAGAGGATTCGAGTTCAATTTCCTGTGTTAGCAAGCATCCATCTTGCTCAAGTGTCCCTGAGTGTTACACTAAATCAGAACCTACTCTTATCTTTCCATGTTTGGGTGGCAAACAGACGTTTTTTGTACGTGGATTAACCAAGTATGATATTGTTGAACTAGCAGTGTAGTAAGAGTTTTTAAAGGCCAGAAAGGGCAGGATAAATGGGTCTACAGGTTGGACTTTTCAATTACACCCACTAAAGTATCATGTGCAAAGAGGAATAAAGTAGGGCTGGGCGGTATGACAAAATTTTCATTTCACGTTTTTGTTTTAAAGGAGCTATATGTAAGAAATCTAAAGCAAATAGTCATAAAATCCTCCTAATATGTCACAGAGACTAAGGAATAATGTTCATATAACATACTGATCTCACCGACAACAATAGTACAGCCAGAATATTCCCATTTTTAAAAAAAATTTACGGTCCGCAAATCATGTTTATGTTTTCAATTTGTGTTTTGACCTGTTGCGCCACCCACCGCCGTCTACCAGTCACGCAGTCAGTAGAGTCTCAGCATCAGTTACAGTTACAACTGAGCTACAGCAGCATGGCAAGCAGCATTAGCAGTTTCCCAGTACATAGCATTAGCAGTCTCCTCAGCTGTATCTCGGCAGCAGCGTTAGCAGCAGAGAAGCCCGACTTGCTCGAACGGTCCGCTGGAAAACCGAAGATCAAGGACGCGGCGACGCGGCCCTGCCACGGCAGCCGCCCGTGGGCAAACAAATCAGTCTCCAGCGTGCCACTGTCCAGCAACCTCCAATCTGTAGGGGAGGGGGGGGCGGACAGTATTTTGAATTTGAGTGCAGTAATCGTTTTGGCCACATTCATACATACAGCACCTTTAAATCATATCGGTTTCACGGTATTTGACGGTATTCTGCTCGGGTTCAGCGCACTTGACATGCTGCTGTGTTGTGCTATGGCCTATTGAAGTGCTGGCATTTGTTATTTACGTGACAACGCCTGAATGCAACACAGGCTCCTCTCCCTTAGTGCCGTGCTCAGTTATAACTGTCTCAGACTCTGGTCGGCTTCGGTCAGGAAAATGCTGCTGAGCCACGCTCAGGTAGTTTCTAAAGTGCTAAGATGAAAAAAAAAAAAAAAAAATCAGCAGCGGCAGTCATATTTCAGCAGTGGTGTCCTGCTAGTTGCACATGGGGGAAACACTGCTCTTGTTGGTATGAGTTCTTCTGGGTTATCGTGTTCTTTTTCAGCAACGTGTACATGTGTACGTGTACAGTTGCTTCACATTCAGGACTCTCTCCGGCAGCCATTCTCGCCTCTAAACTTTTCTGTACGCTCTCACTCCTGCCGGCTCTAGCACGCCTGTGGTGTGCAGCGGTGAAATGGGTCCCCGCTGAAACACTTTCCCGTCGTGCACGTTCCGGACGTTGTTTGGGCTATACACCAGTATTGCGGTATATGAAAAATTCGTATCATAACGAAAATAAATACTGTTTTTCAGTACGAACCGGTATACCACACAGCCCTAGAATAAAGTAAGTGGACAGCGACACTTGTCACCTGGTGGTTCAAATCAAACTCTGAGCAAAGTTAAAGCAGTAAACTCTTAAGATATACTTAATAATATTTATTATTTATTACTTACTTTATTACTTATTTACTTGATATCCTAAACAGTAAATTCATAATCTTGAAACTTATTAACATATTATCTCTTCTTTAAAATTTGCAGACTCTGGCCACTGCACCTAAACTTAAACAGATTTGCCCATACACAAGCTTAAAGGTATATTATGCAGGATTTCCAGTTTGTTAACACACTCGCCAGCCAAGTGAAAGTAAAAGCAGACCCCAGATTCACTCTTGTTTGGCGTTTCACCCCGCTATATTTGTTTTTTTTTTCTGTGCTGTGTCTCTTGGATACCCGCTGCTTACAGTCTGGCACCTGGTCACTACCTTTTTATAAAGCAACAACCTCACCTGAGCGCCATGGGGCTCCACGCCTAACATGGTGAACCCAGAAAATAAGAAAATCCAGGCCGAGGGCAACATCTATATACTGCCACACACTGAGAGTTGAGAGGTCATAACTGATGATTGAGACGGATTATTTCTATATGAATCTATAAATTGTTTTTTTGTTTTTGAAAAATCTGCGTAGTGTACCTTTAAGCAAAAAGCAGATTTTGTTTTCAGATACAAAATCTGCCTGAAACAGCCTGTAGTAACTGCACTGAGGGTTATTATAACCCTTATCATGCCACTCCTAAAGGTCCATGTACTTGGGTCTTACGTTAACTATAAATTTAATGCCATAGGAAACCTTAGAAATATAATATTTACTATTGCCATAAAGTTTTTGTAGCAAATTAAACATAGTGCATGATATCTTCTTTAGCACTGCTCTTTAAATGCACTCAAAAATTGATGATTTTTATTGCTCTACTGCTCTATTTAACTTTTGGCTCTTCAGCTCAGCATATACAGTGCAGTTTGCTGTTTGCTGTGCAACAAACCTTTCAACAACTTTCAATTTGGTCAAAATGATGGGAACCCCATGCCTCATTTCGACACAGGAGAACTGGAACTACCAGCCGGTCATAATGATATTTTTTGCTGATAGTAAATGGACTGCATTGATATATCTCTTTTCTAGTCCTAACAGCCACTCAAAACGCTTCACAATAGAAGCACTATTCATCCATTCACACACATGCATGCACACACTACAGTCATACAAGGTGCCACCAGCTCATCAGATAAACATTCACACCCTTGTGAATGTTTATTTGATAAACATATCTGATGAACATTCATCTGATTCTGATTCTGATTCTGATACACACAGTTGATCACACTGCAAAGGTCAGGGATCAGACCTCTGACCTTTGGATAGGTAGACAACCACTCTACTTCCTGAGCCATAGCCGCCCCCTGATATACTCATAGTCGGAGATAACTGCCAGTTTAAACAAAATTCCATTTAGCTCCATTATGTTGAGCTGGAGACAGACATCTCAGAGATGGATATTTCAAAACCTGGGCAAAAAAATGTGAACTATGTGCATGGCTACATACCAGGGGGGTAAGAGATGAAATTGCAAATTGGATGTGCCAAGTGGGAAGTGTGTTAGTAAAAGTCTCATTTGATGATAGGAGTGGAGGCGTTAAGTTTTAGGGATTTTCTTGTAAATGTAATGGGGAAATTTTCTGAAAGTTTTTTTTATTTAAAGAGACACTCCCCTTTTTTAAAGTGCCTGATAATGGTTAAAATTCCACTGTTTCCCCACAGCTAACTGAACTGGAGTTGGGGACATTTAAAAAATGTGTCCAAAATAGGTGGAAAAAGTGATTTATCATTTCATTAAATTTTACAACTTGAATTTGTATTTCCAGTGTCTAACATAATTATACTGTATTTGTGTAATGGGGAAAAGCCTTTTTCACAGCATTAGAGTGTAGTTCAGGCACATTCAGTAAAACTCACTAACAATAATGATAAACATGATGATAACTCCATCGTTCCACTGTTGATGGGTTTCTGGTTTTATTAATGGCTTTATCTCCTAACTAATGAAATGCCCTAACCACTGCTGGTGCAATAAAAGGTAGTAACACACTAATTACTAATTAAATAGGCAGCTACTCGTTTTGTCAGTGAGGATTGAATCGCTGTGGGTCGAACGCAGCCCAGTCCTGCTCTAGCTTGTCTTCTGTGAGGCTTCAGGCACTGCTAAGAGCTGAACATAGTGTACTGCAGAAGTGTGTGTGTGTGTGTGTGTGTGTGTGTGTGTGTGTGTGTGTGTGTGTGTGTGTGTGTGTGTGTGTGCGCACATGTGCATGGGAGACGCTTTCTCCCTCCTGTGTGAGCTGAATAGATGATCAGTGTGTCTGCGAGCCAAACTGGGCTACTGCTGCAGCACACCAATCCTTACCTGATAAAGGCAGACACACACACACACACACAAGCATAGCATATGCACACACGAATGCCTTTGTGTATGTACGTGCACACACACACAGGAGCGGGCGTTATCTCCAAAAGAAAGATAGACTTGGCAAACATATCCATAACTGTAGATAGCTGCAGATGGGATCTCTTCAGATAGCAGATAAGTGTGTGTGTGTGTGTGTGCCACCATCTAATCAGTGTTTTTGCAAGGGCTCTCTTTTTATCTCTATGTGTGGCTACATGCATTTATGTGTGTTCAAGCATTTCTATAATGCATATGCATATGTCTGTGTGTATTTGTCCTGTGTGTACACTTATCTTTAGTGTGAAGCATATATGTGTGGGTGTGTGACTGTATGATTTCCTGTGTGTGTGTGTGTGTGTGTGTGTGTGTGTGTGTGTTTGTTGTGCGTACTCATTTTTTTCGGAGCGCAGCCAGGATATGGCCTCAGGGCTGCTGGGGGTATTAGGGACTATTTTTTAGCAGGGAAGCGGATTAGGGGAGCGCAGGGAACGGCGTGGCCGAGGCTGATTTCCTGTCAACAGCCTCCGTTATCCCTGAATCCCTCCCTGTGAGGGAACTGGGACCGCACTCTGAGCTGTGCCCCGGGCTCGCAGCGACAAAGAGACATAGAAAAACACAAAGAGAAAAGGGGAGAGAGAGGATGAGGATGAAAAAGAGCAAGAGAGGGAGACAGTGTTGACAATCAGAGCAATAGAAAGAGAGGGACAAAAATGTTGAGAGGAAGGGAGGGAAGGTGAGGAAAAATTGAATTGAAAAAGTGGAAGTGAGCAACAAATAAAACCAGGATCAGGGAGTTTATGATAATGATCATCAACTCGTGAACTAAGCCCAAATATAGACTGAAAGGTACCAAATCCTCATTATTGGCATGCGAGTATACACCCAGAAAGGCATAATTCGCTGTGAATCCCACTGTGAGAACGCTGCATTTTCTGCATGATTTGTGTGGGCACAAGTGTGTGAAAGAGAGATAGAGACAGACAGTTTCTCTGCACGACTGTGTTTGTGTGTTTTCAGCATGTGTGGTCTTCCCGTACTAACAGAGTCAACATATATGTTTGAGTGCTTTTACACATGGAGCTTTGTTTGGGACAATGGAAGATGCATACATGGCTGCAGATTCTTTAATGCATCCATGCATGAAATGCTTTGTTATAAATGTTGAATGCATGTCTGGTAACGTGTCATCATTTTCCCAGGGTGTGGAGCGTCCGCTACAACCACAGCCACGACCAGCTGGTGTTGACAGCCAGCAGTGACAGCCGCCTCATCCTCTCCAATATGGTGTCCATCTCCTCAGAGCCATTCGGACACTTGGTGGACGATGAGGAGCTCAGTGAGGGGGAGGACAACCACCAGGAGGACAAGTAAGAGCAACTGAGGCCAGTTAGAAATGGGAATGCTTCCATAAATCTAAATGTTGGTAATTACTGCTTCTTTTTTTTTTTGAAGGATAGCCTGATTTAAATGGATAGATCACCCCTAACCTTAAGAACACAAATTTTCCCTCCTACCTGTGGTATTTTAAATCAGTCTAGATTGTTTTGGTGTGAGTTGCCGAGTGCTGGAGATATCGGCTGCAGAGATGTCTGCCTTCTCTTGAATATAATAGAACTAGATGGCACTCGGCTGGTGGTGCTCAAGTGCCAAAAAATATATACTTGAAAAACTCGACAACGTCTCTTTCCAGAAATCATGACCCAGTTACTCAAGATAATCCACACACCTTGTCATGAGCAGTTTCATGTGGGAACTATTTCCTTTCTACTGACCTACACCCGCCAACCTGTCACCACACAGAGGGAAGCGTGCATCTACTCATGCAAATGACAGCACAAGATGTAAAAGTTAATGGCGTCCTTCTCGGCTGAGCTGTAACATTGGCTAGCTCAGTGGTGCTAGCAGTACCAAACTAAAATGCTTCCGTCAGTGCAGCGATAGGCTACATTTATATTCGAGAGAAGACAGACATCTTCAAGTTGATATTTGTAACACTCTGCGGCTCCCACCGAAACAATCTAGATTAATAAATAGCACTAAAGGTAAGAGGAAAAATATGTCTTTTTGATTTGGGTGTAAACTTTCCATTGAAGGTGGTAAAACGGTAGCTTTAAATAAAAACAACGGTTTATTACAGCTCAGATTTTATTTTTATTTTGTATCAGTGATGGTTTTCCTGGCTAGAAGACTGTAAACACAGATAAATAATATGTATTTTGAGGTTTTACCTGTCCACAGTATCTCACTTGACTGTTATCAGAATGAACCTTGAGGAGGTCACAGGTAAGTGTCTTGGGTTTTGGTGCTTTGCTTCAGGAGAGTTTTCTCGTATTCACCAATACTGAATACACAAAAGGAAAATAAAGTGAAATTGAGCAGTGCATTATCAGCTCCAGTGCCAATTATTGATGTTTATAACTATGTATAAACCACCTATTTTTATACATTGACAGGGCTGTGATTTCATTCTTCTGACTGCACAACTCCCATTCATTTTCCAGATGCTACTTTTTCTTGCTCTGAACATCTCCATTGACTGTGTGATCTATAAATGGCCTTAATCATCTTAAAAGTGACCAGTGTCACCCCTTCTTCAGTTAATGCAGATGTGAAATCAACACATCTTATCTGGTTTTTCTTTAATTATACCTCTCTTGCACGTTTCCGCACTGCTATAAGGAGTCTAATAAGACACGCGTCTGAGATACTAAAGCATACACAAAAACATGCCATGTATTTTGAACTGCTCATCTGATATTAGTCCTCCGAAGATTAAAGCTGACTGCCTGAGCCCTCACTTTCACATACCGTGACACTCAGAACGATAAAAGTGGAGAGGTAAAACATTAAAAATATGTTACTGTCAAAACACTTCTGGTGTTTTCCTCTATAGCATTTAGGCTTGATTTAAAAATTGCAGGGATATCATCTGTAATGGTTACCATTCAGTGCTTTTCAAATCTGCCACTGTCCTCCATCCATTATGGTCCAGTTCCCCCTCTTATCCATGACTACCAGCTCTTACACTCAATGACTGACTCTCATCCACAATTATCAACTCTTCTTCCTAATCACCAGCACTCAGCTTTGGTTTTAACCCTTCCACTATACTTATTGACCCCTCTTGTATGTACTGTACGTGTCCACTCCACAGTACCTGGACACTACATACAGAACTCCTCCAGTGGTTGGGCTATTTTCCTACTTTATGTGGATGCTTTTAAAATTCAACAGATAATGACATTTGGAGATGATGATTATTTTCGAGATTACCATGCAGTTGAGGCTAGATTTTTGTGTTTTTAAAAGGAGCCTGTTTTTCTCAGTTTGGTCTGTTTGTCAGTATAACAAATTTACCATCATCACCAAGGTGGTTATAATGTAGAGATGGGTGAAAAACAAAAAGAAAAAAACAGAGTATAATGTTGTAGTAAGTATTCTTCCAAAAGATAGTCCCTCATTTGGTGTTCTGATGATGGTTGCAGCAAACTTGCTCAAAAATCTGCTATGGGTGTTAAACTGGGTTAAGTTCTGGTGACAGTGGAGTCCACATGATAATACGTGTTTTAGACTAGCTTCTAAGAAACTGGTTTAAAAGAATACTTCACCCCCCAAATGATCATCTCTGTATCAGTCACTTACCCCGTGTTATGTTGAATCGGGAAGGAAATTTTGTTTTTCTCTATGCCTCTGTGGTAGCCTTGGGCAGTATCTATTTTTTCATACCCGCTTTTCTGAAATTTAACCAGGGTTTACGGTATTATGACGATAATGTGTGACAGTATTCCCGTGCGCACTCTCTCTGCTGTTGCAGGCAGGTTTTTTTTTACAGTCCTCTAACATTATCCCCACCACTCACAGCAAGTTGCCATGTTTGTCAGCTCAGTGTCAGCACTATAAACTATCCTCAGCACAGCCTCGTCAGCATGAGGTTACCAGAAAGATGTATACATGTATGTGTATGTTTTACGGTATTAAAAATGAAACCAACGGGATTTCTAAACACCCTGGTATACCGTAATACCGTGATACCACCCAAGCCTGCTCCACAGTGAACCAAGAATTCAAAAACAGAGAAAATTCTTCATTAATGAAAGTCTTTGGGGGCCTGCATTTAGCAAAACCAAAACTATATCAAAACATCCTTTTACAAACTTTACTCATAACTATTCAAAAAACTTTGGCATAAACAGTCTCAGGCACAGACGAATAGTGGAATGCATGTATTCAGTTGCAAGGTTTTGGCAAAAGTGCATGTGTTTGGGAAGTACCGAGGATATGATTGGATATATGAGACTTGGATTATGCTGCACAAGTTGTGTGAAAGTTTGTGAACAGATGTTTTGATATAGTTGTAGTGTTGTTAAACGTGGCCCCCTATGACTTCAATTCATCAAGAATTCTCTCTGTTATTGAATTCTTTGTTCACCGTGGAGACGTGCGAGAAAAACAAAGTTTTCTTCATGCATTCAACATAACATGGTGAGTAAGTGATAAACAGATGGTCATATGGGGGGTGAAGTATTTCATTCATGATATCTGAAGACATGTCTGACTTTACTGTGTCAGATTACACTGCAAAATTGCTTTGCCATATCTTCAGTCATACTTTTTAAAGCATATTTTTTTTATCACATTAAAATAACTTCATTGCTACTTATGTGGATACCTTCAGGTGCCAGTTTATTAGGCACACTTAACTAAAACTAATACAGTCTAATACAACCGTCCTGCATAATGCATACCATTATACATTTTTGAATGGGTTATAATTCTACTTTATGGTCTTTTTAAGTGGTTTTAGTTTGTGGTCCTGTTGATTCATATTGTGTTGTGCGGATATATTCATTGACTCATCGTAAGCAGGCTGGCCAAAATATTAATAACAGGTCTCAGTAAATTGCAATACAGCACCTCTCTAAAACAGTTGAACAAAAACTGAGCATTATAACCTTCATCAAGGTACAATTTGTTGCAGGACTTGAATTAGACTGAATTAGTTTAAGCTGTACCTAATAAACAACTAAGTCATTATTTTCACTCTAAGGTTGCTACAGAATGTCACCTCTAATTGTAGCGCACAGTACTTTCTCTTAGCAGGTCAACTGTCCAGTGACATTATCGCTGAAACCTTACAATCCTTTAGACAAACCGATGCAAGGTCCAGCATCCTGTAGCATCAGTCAAGTGCTCTCACATATACGCTCTTGTTCTTTTCTTCCCCAATGAATCTATACGAGCAGAGCACTTAAGAGTGTTTTTATTTTAGGCTGCAGCCCGGGGGGAGCAGCTACTGTCTGTGTGAAACAGTTAATGTGTAAAATAAATCCAAATATGTATGTCACTGTTTTCCCCCAGGACTACTTACAGCAGTGGGTTTGGGAGAAATTTGGGATGGCAATAATGCTAGATCATAATTTCAAAATTTTATTTATTGTCACATTGTTGTAGCAGTGGGAAAACTGTCTCAGCACCGAGGCGGTTGCTCTTTGTGTACTGAAGACAGGGAGAAATGGTGAATAAATAAAGTAAATATCCTCCAGTCTTCAGCAGGTACTGGTGTGTGTGGGCCATCCATAACACCAAGGAGATAAACAGATACAAACTGAAGTTGTGTGTGCTTGTGTGAAAGACTTTATATGACCACTAGTAGTGCTAACAGAGCTTTTACAGGAGGGTCTCTGTTTATTGTTTTTATTATTCATGTGCACACACACACACACACACACACATGCATGGAAGCACGCAGGTGACGATATACACACTCCCCACGCTAGTTCGAGCTATTCAGCTGATTGGCAGCTGTTAGTTATAATGCACAAAGGAATGCAGCAATGCACCTTCAAAGGCAGTGAAAAATAAGTCTGCAAGCTTGCAAACATGACTGTAAACAATGATGGCTTCAAATAATTTTCAAAAATGGGCTTTGCAAGTATGTTACAAAGAAGGACATACATTCAGCCCATTTGTTTAGACCTCATGGATAACCTTGGTGAGTTTTGTTGAAAGTTATATCGATTTTTTTTTCCTTGCAAAAAATGCAAAACATCAACCATTGTTCATTAAAAAAAAAGTTTGCTTCCACAATTTGCAGTTTGCAAGTTTGCTTCAAGAACTTTTGACACATTTTCATATAATTCCTGAAACAGAAGGTGCATTGTAAGGTGGAGTTATCTCACTCACATTAACAGTCAGCTATTGATCCTTTTCTGGCCGTCGGAGAGCATCTGTTGCCCTAGCTTTCGCAGTACATCCCACACCATTGGCACCTTGCCCTTGCCAGCTGTTTCTGCCAATTCATCATGTTGAATTGGCATCAGAGATGGTGGAGCCCATCACTGATTGGCAGTTGTATTCAGTCTATGGGAAGAGAAATGCAAGTGAGGAAAGCAAAGAAATGACTAAAGTCAAGAGAGCGTGAGATCAAAACAAACTTATGTTAGGTAAGATTATTTTTCTGCCATTAAAGTCTTCAGCAGAAACAGTTCTTGATGTTTATATTATTGTTGGCTAGCACGCATTAAATATCATTTGTTCTTTTAACATCAAGTTGTGTTATTGATGTGTTAACTCGCTGACTAGCGTCTTGAATCCATCCTGTCTGGCTACCAGTTGAATGGTGAATACAGACTACCGCTGCCTGCTGGTGTGGAGAGTTACTTCCTCTCAGAGGTGCAGAAAGTACACAGGCAAGACACAGGCGACATAAGGCAACGTAACAGTCAGGTTTGGTTGCTGCTAGTTATTTGATATCAGTTTGGTGTGTCGGGGCCTTTAGCCAAGATTCCACTTTTTAACAACAACTATGATTTAACTGCACTGCATGCAGCTTTGACATTAAATGTGTATTTAACATTAGCTAACATTAGCTAGTTTAATATCTGTAGGTCCTCCGTACATTGGTGGTCAAGATGTTAGAAGACCTGCTTGAAATCTGCAAGATGTGATGCATTCCTTTTTCAGTTTCCATAACTAGCTCATCTCTTTGTGTGTGTGTGTGTGTGTGTGTGTGTGTGTGTGTGTGTGTGTGTGTGTGTGTGTTATTCAGAGGTAAGGAGCCCCTGAAGGACAGCGTGGTGTCTACCTATGAAGAACACGAAGACAGCGTGTATGCGGCAGAGTGGTCATCGGCCGACCCCTGGCTCTTCGCCTCGCTCAGCTACGATGGACGCCTCGTCATCAACAGGGTTCCCCGCGCTCTCAAATACCGCATCCTGCTCTGAGAGGGTGGGGAGGGACAGGTGATCTGAATGTGTGTATGTGTGTACTGTGAGTGTGTGAGAGAAGCCATAACATGTCCTTTGCTACCAAAATCTGCAAGAAGACATTCCATTATATCGTGGCACAGTAAGTGTGCTGTGGAATACAGTGCAAACTGCATGTGAAGGCTGCAATGGTAAAGATTGCGTGCGTGTGTGTGATATAAATTTTCTGTAGCTCATATGTTCGGAAAGACGGATAAATATTGACATGGTGTCGACTTGTGGTGTCGTGGTGTTGGCAGCAACGCCATATACGAAAAGAACACATACAGAAGAAAAATCATTTTCTTCATAACATAAATCCAAAACGTGTACTTTGTCATGTCATTATTTGCATAAATATGTTATTTCCTGCTTATTTTTTTGTCTGAATCATTTGTTGTGTTTACTGGTGTTCAACTACCAATACCAGTTATAAAATGCTGGCATCTAAAATCACAATATTTGAGTTAAAAAAGAAATTCAAAGAAAATTTATTTCAAATCTTCAAATTGTTGCTGTCCAGGCTTGCAGGTTGTTTGGGTTGCCACTATTTCCATCATCCTTGAATGAGATGGTTCTTTCTTTATCGATTGATACTGTCATGAAAAACAGAGCAGGCGGACCCCAGCGCAGGAGACTGCGGGAAATAGCAACTCAAAGAAATAACTTTTCATTTAAGATTTGTGCAGGCAGTGCAAAACTGATCATAACATAACGAAACCAAGGATCCATCAAGGACTGAACTGGAAACCAGGACTTCAATACAAACTAATCTGACAAGGGAATGAGGTGCAGGTGGAGAGATGGGCGGAAGAAGCTCAGGTGAGAGGAATGAGGTGATTAGTCAGGAGAGCAGGCAGGGAGCTGATTGGCGGGGGGAAACTATGGGAGCAGCGACGGAATAACAAGGCTGATTCAGAGCAGGTGTGTCGATGGGCAAAGAAAGAAAGGCAGCACAGGACACAGGAGGAAAAACACAGAAAACCAAAATCCTAGAAAAAAGAATCCTCTTAATCACTGAGATGGAGTAAAAGCTGTGTGAGTTCAGACCAGAGTGAAAACAGAGACAGACTAAGGAAGATCGACCACTCAAATGCTTATCACACCAGATGGTCTTTTAAAAATACAGTTCAGTCCAGTCTTCATCAAAAGTCTGAGGGCATTAGGAAAAATTCAGGCTGTGACAGATACATCTTTAAAAAGAATATTCACCCTCCAGATGTGTACATCAAGTACTCACCCACTGTTGCATCAAATTTGTGGAAAGAAAAAGGGTTTTCTTGCAGACCTCCAGTGAGCGAAGAATCCAAAAATGGAGAAAATGTTTGGTTAATTGAAGTCACGGGACTTAACATTTAACAACATCAAAACTATATCAAAACATTTGTTTACAAACTGTCACACAACTCAAATAGTGCACAAGTTGTGTGAGAGTTTGTACACAGGTGTTTTGATAAAGTTTTGCTGCTGTTTAACACAGACTCCTATGACTTGTTCATGAAGAAGTTTCTAATTTTTTTGATTCTTAGTTCACTGCCGGCATATGAGAATAACAAATTTTTTTTCGTGAGTTCAACACATTTTGGGGGTGAACTATTCCTTTAACCCTGTAGATTTACACTTTGTTCACCAGATGAAATAGCAGCACTACCTACTGTGGATTAGCCTTCCCTTCACCATCTCAGTCTCTTTTCTACTCTTGATTTTTGTAATTTATCCAGGGAGTCACTTGAGAATTAAATGTCATCTGTGAGGGAGACCTGGCCACTGTTGTGCATGTTCACACTTTACAAGAGCTAGTTAGCAAGTTCAGGTCACACAGCTTAACATTTACAGTCTCAAAATATTAGCTTTTTTACATTCATGTCTTGCGTGTTTTTTTTTGTTTGTTGTTTGTTTTTTCTAATACAATAAAACCTTGTGATCATCATTCTCCGATATTTTCCAACACTGGGTAGATGCTCCAACTTGATATGGTCTTTCAAATTCGTTGTCTGTGTGGCTGATGTTTGGACGTGTCTTAGCAGGCACAATCTGCATATAAATGGGTATGTTTTGTCGGCATGTATGGCACCATAAATCCTTGGGATCCATATAATGGGTATCTGTAATTGTCACAAGGTGAACGACTCAGGTTAATGTTCATGAGTTGCAAACTGATGTGTTCACTTCACAAAAATATGAGCGCATTCAATGAACATGCTCTTTCTGCACCTTCATGCACAACACTGGACCTGACCAAGGTAGCACACCATTACAAGGGTACAAAATCATAAAGTGGAGCATGTCAAAATCAGACAGGCAGAAGATACATAAAACAAAATCCAGTTTAGGAGTAGCAACTGCACTCTTTGGTTACACAGTTTTTAATCAGTGCTTTGAACTCTTCCAGGGAGACACAGTCATTAAGCTGTGGTGTTTTGAAGGTGGACTCAAGGTTAAATCATTAAGGTCTGAAGGCTGACTACACTGTCAACGAAGAATTGTTTCAGCTGAGAGTATACTTGAGATTCTAAAAACTTGGCGAGGTAAGAAGTATGGATATAGGGGGTAATTGTTAAAGTCCGAAGGATCCCACCCTTCACTAAGAGGAGAACGAAGGCTGCTTTCCAGATTTTGGGGGACTGAAGTAGTCTGAAGGCTCTGGTTAAAAATATGAGCAATAGGCTCAGCAGTAAAATCAGCTGCAACCTTTAAAAGAAGGACCCAGGTTGACGGGTCCAGACGACTTTTTTGGATCAATAGCTTTCAAAGCTTTACAGATCTCCACACAAGAAAGAATTCAAAAACAAAGGGATCCTTAAGTGAGTCAGTGCACGATGAAGGTGTCACAGAACCGGAATTTCTTAAACGTAGAGCTTCAAGACCCTGTTGCATATGTATGAAAAACAGACCCAGCTGATATAAAATGCTCATTAAAGTGCCCAGCAATATCATCTTTGCTCTTTATTTCAGTTGAGTCAACTAAAATGCATTCAGGGAGGCCTGAAGTGGAAATAAAACATGACAATGATTTTATCTGTTTCCTGAATTTCCTAGTCCGCATGTGCATTTATTTCTCAGAGCTCTAAGAGGCAGTCCAGTCAGCAGGAGGATTTAGCCCTGACCCAGGAGGTATTCCTTTCCCTGATCATCTTAACTGATCCTGCCACAAGTACTTCTTCAGGTTGTTTAAAAAAAAGTTCAAACTGATGATTTGAGCCCCTTACACAGGCAATAGCACAGTGATCACTGACATCTTAACAGAATGCTGCAGTTGAGGTATACTTGTAGGGCACATTTCTTAGTATGAGATCTGGTAATGTAGATTTGCTAAGATCTTTTGGAGTGGGCCTTGTAGGAGCATTAACAAAGTGTGTGAGATTTAAAGAGTCATGCAGTTCTTTAATGCAGTCAGAGACGGTCCTCATTTAGATCGCCCATGAGAATGAATTCGGAGTCACTGAAATTGTTTAAGGCATCAGAAAGAGAGGAGATGGATCTTTTGTGGATGACGGTGGTCTGTAGCAGCCAACAAGAGGAAAGCGAGTATCCTTGGATGTATTCACTTTTAACAGTGAGCACTTCAAACTGTGCGGCCTTTGGTGCAGACTGTCACATGGAGCTACAAAGTTTGGATTTCACATAAACCGTAACTCCTCCACCTTTACCAGCTTGAGTGGATCTATGAACAATGTTAACATCAATTGTAATCTAACTGTCAGGTGTCCTTTTTTTTTGTTAAGATTTTGTTTTATTTTTTTATGAAACATAAAACCATAATAACTATATCTATAACTCACAGCATATCTATTTTTGGGAGAAGACCTCTAACATTAAAATTCATGAAGCCAAGACCCAATCTGGTTTTGACATCAGCAGGAGTGGGTATAATTTGCATGGAGCTAAGTTTTGGTTGCCCATTCCTAGATAACAATAGTAGTAGCACAACAACACATTTCAGCTTCCCAGTTTATGCAATGGTGTCATAATCAGCATCTCAGGCAGTAAAGTGCAAGGAGGTCCTTTTGCAACATGAGAACATGAGAATGTGTTTGGGAGTTATAAAGCTTTTCCTGTTGTGCAGGGTGGATTCTTAAATGATGATTACAAGAGTCTCTGTTTGGAGAATTTGTAAGACTTCGGAAGTGAGATGGCAAATGTTCACTCACCTGATTTCATCCAGAGAGTCCAAAGAGGCACTTATTATTAATAAATAAACCAACAGATACATGATGCCTGCATAGGAGACTACAGAACATGAAGTAACAGGTGCTCAGATGGTCAGATAAGTCAGTAGCGAGCAGTTGGCTTCAGGAGCATATTATGTTGAGAAACTGAGAAAGGGTGGCAATGCAGGATCCAGCGTACGTCCAGCTGCACAGGCCTAGGCAGGGATGCACAGCACAGTAGAGGTCTTCACAAGTTCAAAATTACAGACCTGAACTCCAGTGGACCCAGGAAATTTGTTTCAAGAAGTGACTGCTCTCAATAAATTTTAAAAATATTCCCTTCCTGTTTTTGCCTGAGATATTGAGGGCTCAACTTGGTGCACGTCTGAGAGGAGAGAGATCCAGGATGGGTCTATTTTATGGACCTGTTAAATTAGAAATGCTACTAAAAATGGCATTCTAATGCTGGATACAAGTACATGCTGTTCTTACCTATCTTACTGTATATAATGTCGAGTAGTCTTTCAGATGTCTACTTTTATTTTATTCTAATGTCAGTTATTTTGTTGTTGTTGTTGTTGTTGATGTTGTTGTGATGTGAGCTGCTGTAATGCTTTAATTTCCACGGCTCATTATCCATCTTTTCCTCCACTCTGCCTCCAACACGCTGGCACTGCTGCTTAACAATTTTTCACCTTAATTTCGCTCTTATAATCTAATTCTAAATCAGCCTAATCATTTTTCAAGCTACACACACACACACACACAGTGCTTATGCGTTTCTCTTGTGATCAGCACTGATCAGGGGTCTTCTCTGATCCACTCAGGTATTACACATAATGGTTAAAGGAATGCTTTGCCTATTTTCAACCAGCTCTGTATCACGATTATGTGGGTAGTATGTGTAAATAAACTGTGCTAAACTTCCCTCCATCTTACCAGCGCCTAGATCCCCCTGCTCATCTTCCACGTCAAAATCTGCTTGACTTTCTCTAGCTCAAGAGAGAGAGCAGCCCCTCTCTCTGTGTCTGAAATGCAGACCAAACTCAAATCAAACCTTAAAACCAGGCAGCTCTGATCGAATATGAAGATTCTGTTACTGTACTGCCTATTTCCTGCCTAATGTGTCTTCAAAAACATATTTTAGTGCACTGTTTGGCTGTAATACAAGAATTAGTGAACAGGAAGTGGGTGCCATACTGTTTCCTGTACTGTAAAAGGCTTT